AGATTTTTTTTCACAAAGTTACAGATCAGGAATTGGCAACATCACACACCTGCTGCTTTTACTCCGTAGCTTTCATTTCAACTGATAACTACGCACTAAACTGATTATTAGATTTTGTTTTTTTGTGCTCAGAATGTAAAGTCTGATATTTAGACATGTTTTGTTGGTGTCAAGAAAAGAATAATTCTAGTATAAATTTCATTGCGTTCAGTTGCATTGGAATTAATGACCGTTGTTTCTGTGCAGAGGTAATGATCGAGGTTTTCACTCTGTGCTGTGCTCGGTGAGATGCTGCAACCGTGCAAGACTATACCGATCGCCCCAACACTTTCTTTTCTCGTCACACAGAGAAAACAAAAATGACAGTCTTATAAATCTCCATTAAAGCAGTTTACATCTTAAAGTGACTTTGAAAGTTTAGCAGAAAGTAAAAAGAAAAAAGCGCCGCAGAGCCAGAGCTGTGTGAGTTGTGAGTGTGCGTGGAGGGTGGGGGGTTGGCTACTGGGGAAGAAACGGCTGACGTTTCTTGTTCTGTACATCCGTGTGTCCGTGTGTGTGCGCCGTGTAGAGGACCGCACGACTGCAGCGCTCGGGAGGCACGGCGGGATTCTGCTACATCATGGCGCAGGGGACTGATGCAAGTGTCGGGAAAGGGGTGGTATCAGCAGGCCGTGTCCTCTCGGAAGTATCGGATTGCGCCAGGGTGGTTTTATCGGAATGCTGACAGCGGGAGGATGGATGCTCGGGCCCGAAGTTGTGGGGTATCGCTGTCAGCATCGAGACCGCTGGGTGCCACACCAGTAATTGGAGTCACCCATCTGCCTCCCCAAGTGAGGGCACTGGGGCAGCGCGGGCCGGACCGGGGCTGGCTGGCTCTGAACCTGCGCAAGCTGGGACCTGCTTCTGCAAGCCGGCTGTGCCACCCTGCATTTTCTTTAAGTGGTATTGTTTCTTGCAAGATGCCCTTGAACCAGCGTGCCCCGGATGGGGTATGTAAGGTCATCCAAAAGGCCCACCTGTCAGGATTATATGAAATTCACAAAGTCAGTATTAGTGAAAGCCTGAGTATCACCCATCGCCATCAGTTACCACTTATCCTATTTAAGGGCTGGGTGGCCTGTAGCCTATCCCAGGACGCACTGGGTGCAAGGTGGGACACACCCTGGACAGGATGCCTCCCCTGCGCAGAGTACACACAGACACAGACAGGCACAGCAGGGTGAATTTTATACAAGCCAGTTCATCTGCCAGCTTGTTTTTGGACTTGGGAAGGAAACCGGAGCACCCGGAGAAAACTAACGCGATCACAGAGAGAACATTCAAGCTCCATGCAGATACTGTAGCAGCCCAGGAATTGAACTCGGCGCCATAGCTACAGCTATGTGCTAACCACTGTGCCACCCTGCCACCCATTGTAACAAACATATCAATTGTCATGCCATCATGCTGCCCAAGACTTTTACCCATCTGAGGAAAATCAGTTAGAACTAAGGTAAAAGTGATACATTTAGCGAATGCTCATTTAGTGTAGAAATATAAATTTCTACACTAAATGAAATTCAGTAATGGCAGATGGATGTCACAATGTTCAAAGCCTATACCTGTACGTCTTTCCACTGTTCGGACTCACACATGTCCTTCTTTGGGGAATATGCAGAAGTAATATTGAATAATGGAGAGATGGTGGATTTTAAGAGAAAAAATAAACGCAGAACAAAGGTCTTCTGCAAAGTACAAGGCCAAAGCAGGTAGACGGAACCTTTTCGTTGGTCTTGATCTTGAAGGTCTTCGGATCGCGCTGCAAGAGGATCTTGTGTGCCCTCCTGTTCTGCGCTCTCTGGAGGCAGCAGCAGCGCTGCTGACACCTGTCCCCTGGTCAGCAGAGTGCAGTTAGCTGCTCCCCCTCAGGCCCTTCTTGGAATGGAAAATAGTCCTGCGTGCCTTCCTCTCTGTCTGTCTGCCGGCCTGCGAATCTGAGCTGGTTGTTCAAAGTCTATCCTTAGAATGCAAGCAGTAAGGATAGGTCTTTTACCAACCATATGTTTGGTTAGGGGCAGAGCGGTAGTTCTGTGGTTTGGGATCTGCGCCTGTGGCTGTAAGGTTGCCGGTTCGTGTCCCGCAGCGGCAGAGGAATCCTACTCCGTTGGGCCCCTGAGCAAGGCCCTCAACCCCAACTGCTCCAGGGGTGCTGTATAAACGGCTGACCCTGCGCTCTGACCCCCAGCTTCTCTCCCTGTCTGTGTGTCTCATGGAGAGCAAGCTGGGGTATGCGAAAACACAAATTCCTAATACAAGAAATTGTATATGACCAATAAAGTGATCTGATCTTATCTTATATATATCCTTGAGCCTCTTTCTTTTCTTTTTTCTTTAATTTTTGGCATTTTGTTTTGTGGATTTTCACAATCTTTTTTACATTTAATACACAAGTAAAAGTGAGAAAACTCCTTACCAATAAGCTTTGGGGTTTCTCAGTTAGATTGGGATCAAGCACTCCTTTTTATTTGGAGTTCATGTTCGAAAGGTGAAAGATCCAGCCTGACCCAGGGAGATGGAGAGTATTATGAGAAAATGTGTTGGAGATATTTGTGGATGGAGCAGAAGAGTGTGTATAGAAAGAACTGTCCAATACATTGCTATCAGATTTAGACACGTTTAATTTCTCTTTCCTCTGTGTGAAGAGTTAAGACCCTCACTGTTTGTTAAGGTCATTAAGAAATTACAGAAAATCAATTCTGTAAAGCATGTGCCTTATAATATAGTGCAGTGCGTTTGTGTTTGCTTTATGTGAATGTTTTTGTCTTTTAATTTTGAACTAATTAGTGACCAATCAATAAAGCAAATTGCCTACACTGTATATAAACAAGATCTGTTCTATTGTGCAAACAGCAAACTCCCACTGTCTCTCTGCACTTGTTCTTCATACTTAAAAAAGAATAATACACCCAGACCTTTCTGACAGCTTTACACACATGAATCTCTTACCTCTTCACAGAAAAATAGGCACTTATACTTTAGTGCATCAACAAATGAGCTTTCCTGTGCGGCTCAGAAAGACGCTTAATTGCTCATCTTCAGAGCAACGTTAAAAAGGATTAAAGATGAAAAAGAATTTAAAAAACAGGATCTCCAGGGGCAGTGTTCAATAGCAACAATCATGTTTTGTTAGAAACAAATTCTCTATGGACCCTATCTCTGATTGCCTCCACACTCCTTTTGTCTCTACTAGATATATGAATAAGAATACAAACCGAATGTCCATATTTCCCCTCTTTGAACGTTTTTCTGGGGGATGGTTTACTTTGATCAGATAGCATCCTCAGAGATAATTCGGAGCGAGTGCAATATTTTAAAAAAATCATAAGAAGAAAGGAATAGAAACCATATACTGTCCCTTGTTATTTCTTTTAAATCAGCAGATTTAAATTCCCCCCCTCAATGGAAACATGCTGCCACTTTTGCTAATATATTTAAAAATCAATGGTAATACCATTGGAGCTGCTCAGTGGCCGTGCTGCAGAATAAACGTTGATTTATTTAGGAAAGATCTGTTGTTTAAGGTTTCGTCCCTGGAGGTTGGTGGGGGGGGACTGGCGACGACACCTCAGGCCAGCTCCACTCAGATTGAATTTGGGAAGTCCACCCCAGGCTCCCTGAGCCGATTTCAATTGATTCGAATGGAATATGAAATCAGAGCTGCGCGCGGAGAACAGCAGCAGGCTATTAGGAGAGGGAAAGTAAGGCTGGGTTTAAAACCAGCTTCAGCCCAGCAGCGTCTCACCCAGACGAGCTCACAGAGCTTCGTGCCGGCGGCTCGCTGATGACCAGCCGGTCCATCGTCCTTCCGAGAGCATTTCTGTGAGCTCGTCTGGGTGAGACGCTGCTGGGCTGAAGCTGGTTTTAAACCCAGTGGACACGTAGGATTGGAGTCAAACCTCAACAGCGCGTTTTGGAATAAAACTTCTTTAAATGAAACTTTAGACTTTTTTTTTGGTGACCTGAGAAGTGGTCTTTGAGGTTTGATTGTGCCACGGTTTGTTCAGACAGTTCCCTGGTTTGTGTGAAAGGATACCAACCTTCAAGCTTCAGAAAGTCTTGTTTTCCCTCTGTTGCTTTCCTTATAATCAGTAGTCACTTCAGCACAAAAAGCCAAAGTAGAATTTCCCTAGTAAGAAAAAAAAGCAGACGAGCAGCATGTCAGTGTGCCACATAAGACACAATTCTCTGGGGTTCTGGAACCTTGTGCATGTAATTATGTAGCACAGTCTCAGCAAATTGAACCATAATTAAATCATGTAGATTTCTAAGAGGCGAAATGGGCTAAAAAAAAAGTCTAGGACTTTATGACTTCAATGACAGTGCTATTTTTACTGCCTGCACGACTGTCCCGGTGATCAGTTCAGAATCAATCAGGCGGTATTGAAACGTGTCAGAAGGCAGCAGGGAATCCATCAGTTCTGGGGGCCTGTGAATCCGATTCCCTGCTCGCTCTCTCATTGGCGCCTGGTTCCTCCCTGACCTTCCCACCCACAATCCATCCCAATTTACCTCTGTGATTTGTGAGGTAATAAACCTAACTGTATGTGAAATTGCTCTTAAGTTAATATGTTAAACACAGAAAATGATAAGTGAAATTAGATAAAAAGAGAAGCCTTAATCCATCATGGCCTCTGGTGGCCAGGCACTATGTTGCTGTGGTCTTCGCTCGCCGGCCTCTGTCTCTTCCCTCCTCCTCATGTGCCTGGTGCCCGTCTAGTGAGATCTTCTCCGTGCAGACAGACGCACAAATCCCATAAGCAAAAGGAGAAGGAGACGCTTTGTTGCGATAAATTAAGTTGAAACAGTTTGGTTTCGTAGTCCATATTTGCCCCCCATACTGCACGTTACAGCTGACCCTATTTGTGACGTAGTAGCCCGTTTAAGTCGTTTATAATCCGCTCCTGCGTCTTTTTAGAATACATTATTTATTCATGGTCATTTCGCACTTTGTGTTTCTCCAGAGGATGACTTTCCTGCAATGGCCGAGGAAGGCGCTGAGAAGAGACAGAAGGCAGGTAAGAGATCTCCACGCCGGTCGAGCCCAGTCCAGACCCAGGCACAGCTGGGGCAGTGGAGCGGGCCGCCTGAGACCAGCTTGGCACCCTCTTCCCACACTGGCTGATTTATGGCAGCTGCATTTCACCAGCGCTCACTTTGACCTCCATGGCTCTTCTGTGGGACCTGAGAGAAACGTGCAATTTATTTGTGTCTAAGAAGCTCAATCAATCAGTTGCTTTAGGCGTGTTCGGCGTGCATTTCTTCTGTGGTGCTTTTGATTGCAGTGAGTCTTTCAGTGGGAGCTTGTGTTGCTGCAGAGCGAGGCCCCCAGTAAATTAATTTTATTTTCCTTTGCTCTCTTTCTTACCTAGTTAAATAAAGGGATTTGATCTATTAACTGATTAAATCAATTGTGCAGCTTGTTGTAATCAGTGTAATTACTGGTGGGATTGGATAACAGGTCACATTCAAATGGATTGTTCAAGTTACAGTAATTTTACATTTATTCAGGTGTCAATATCTGAGCAGTTTGAGTTGCGTAATTGTGATTTCCTGCCTTGTGATGCCAATATACCTCTGAAGTGCAGAATTTTATTAAACATCGAATGCTTGCATTAAAAAACGCTAAGCAAATATTGCAAGGCTTTCCCGTGTAAAATGGAGGGTAAGACTTCTGACTTGTGATATGCTTAATCGTTTAAAAAAAAAAAACGCTTCGGCGGGTTAACCAGTGCTTTGCCAGGCGATATTCAGAAATCTTTCTGTTTCACAGCTAAATAAACGCAAGAGCGTTTGAGTTGCTCGGGCAGCAGGGCTGCTTTCTCCCTCGTCCGGAGCTGTGCGCGCCAGACCTTGAGAGCGTTCGCCCTGTGTCTTTCCCTCCCCGGGCGCTGGAGAGGTGACCCTGCCGCCCAACCTCAATTGTTAGCCATGCAGATGTGCTTGGTGGGGCTGTGGTGTGAGCAGGACCTTGGCAGTGCAGCCCTGTGCTGTGCACTGCTGCGCAGCTCCTGCTGTCAGGCTGCCAGAGATGGGGCTGCTCTCACTAGTTGTTTGTCCTGCCTGTCCGGGCCGGCCAGAGAGCTGAGGTAGGAAGTCGGAAACGTGGACAGGATCCCTGCTCTTATCGCCCGTGCCCACTCGGTCTCCCTCTCCTGCTCCCTGAGCGGGGCGTGGGGTGGAGGGGGGGGGCGGCAGGGGACACACGAGGCAGGAAACAGGTCCCCTGCTCTCCAGCCAGAGAGAGGAAACGCCAGCGTCCAGCTTGGAGGGGAGAGCAGGGAGGGGGAAGTGCAGCCCAGGGAGGGGTGAGCAGGTGGAGCAGCCGGGGAAGAGATGGCAATCTGTTATTCTGCCTTGGCTTGGCAGGGCTGTCGCAGCCCACGGCACAGGCCCAGTATCCAGGAGGGGTCTCTGGGACTCCTCCAAGGCTCGGGGGCTTGGGATATGTTTAGGAATGCCTTTGTCGGAGTAAGGATGGCCGGGCTGAAGCAGCTGCAAGCTTTAAGCAGAGGGCTTAAGTTTTTCAACAGGGGCTTCAAGATCCTCCCTCAGTATCCTCCATTCCCACCCAGTTCCACAGAAGAGCCAGTCACATACACTGTAGGTCATGTCCTTTCCCCCAGATGCACAGCTACGTTGTAACCCATATTAGGAACCACACAACATGTGAGCTGTGAGGTCTTTATTGGTTGTGTTGGACCACCTAAAGAGGCTATTGGAGCCAGCAGAATGATTGAAAACTGCACCTGCATTGTGTCAAATCAATCTTACAACCCACCTTGCTGTGGATGAGAGTTTAGTTCTGTATGCATGGTCCTGTTTTGCATGTAATGAGTTAATAGTACAGTCATCATTACTTTGTTTTAGTTTAAAAACAGTTGGCTTGTCCCTACAAAACATAATACTCCAGAATCGGCTTCATTTTTTTTTGGTATACTTCCTTGATATTGAGCACTCTGGGGGAAAGTCAAACTCTTAACAAGGATTTTTATTTTTATTATTGATGTTGTTGTTATTATTTAACAGTACGGGAAATGTACAGTCCCTTCCTGGCGAGCTCCGAACCACCCTCCTGGGTTCCGTAAAAGTGTTAGTGGGTCAATACCGAGCTCCCATGTGCACAGAGGTCACTTCCTGAAGGCCTGCCCCCCACACCCCTGCCTTCCTGCGTTTGCAGAGAGCACAGTTAATCCCGTCCAGACACTTCATGTCCACTTAAAGAACAGAGCGGCCTTTAAAAGTCTGTGTAAACCTGGAGGGCTGACTTTGTCTTGTTTCTCAGACTGTAAAATGCTGTACGGAAGGATAGATGTGTCTCTGGTAATCAGGATATCATGTGAACCTTATTTCCAGGGTACAGGCCTTTCTTCTGCTATTTAGGATGGGAGGGAGAGACCGTCATTTAAGTAACGCCTAGAGTGCATGGAAAAATGGAGGGCTAAATTCTCCAACTTTTTAAGATTTTTTTCTCAATAAGAGCACAGAAAAAAAATGTTTTTTGTAGGTGTTTATTGAATAATTTTTTATCCAACTGTGGCATTTTCATTTCTAGTATTTATACCCAAACTGCTGTAGCGTCTGCCTTTTTTATATTATGATCATAAATATCTCAGAGAATGTATTCTGTCAAGCTGGGTCTGTGTTTAGCTGTCACTGCTAAATACACAAGAGACTTTCACAGAGCAAATGGTGAGTCTTGCTTATATCCTAGTGATCAAGACCTAAAGACAACTTTGTCCGTATGTTTGATTAAAAAAAAATGTTTAAGTGCAAAAAAGTTACAAACGAGAGCAGGCCAATCTGGCACATTTGGTAGGTATAGCTTATTGATCCAAGGACTTCGTACAGTCATTTCTTGAAGGAAGCCAAAATAGTTGCTGCAACTACAAGGCTGGGCAACTTGTTCCCTACTCCCACAACCCTTTAGGTAAAGAAAAGCCGCCTACTCTGTGTTTAAATTGCACATACACATAGTGCACTGTCTTGGCTTTATTAATGCCCTTGAGGATTTTGAATGCTTGTATTATCTGTGCAAGACTTCAATTTTCTGAAAGGCTTCAGTTCTTTCATCCTGTCAGTTTAAGAATCATCCCACTCATATTGCCCCAGAGCTAAGAAAGTCTACCAAATTATTCCTCACATGCAGTCTAACCTCCTCAATCTCAAAAGATCTTCTAAACCTAATTGTTATTGTCACTTTGATGGTAACAGCTGCATGTTGGAACTTAATCTTGCAGAAAGCAACCTCACACAGCCCACATGAGATCCACATTCCAGTCACATATTACAGATCCCATGGCAGGAAGAAGCATCCCTAACCCTAAAACACTCTCTCTGGCAAGCAGATAAACTCTCTCCTGCTTTGGGCTGTAACTTGCAACTTGCGGATGGGTCAGAGGTTGAAAGGCTTCAGTTCTTTCATCCTGTGGTTTGGCTTTCATCTGGACTTGAGTCATAAATTTATAGTCCGTTTGGAACAGTGCATTCTCTTTCCTTTGCAGACTTGATGCCAGAGCCTAACTTCATAGTACCTGTGCACAGCGGTCAGCAAGCCTGAAAGATCTTTCTGACGCTCAGTTTCCAAGAGGAGTGAGAAGTGTTCTGCCGAACCCGTAGTCTCTCACTGTCACACTTGCAGTGTCTTTTTTCTCTTCTCTGCAAAAAGAGGCATTTAGCAGCTCGACAGAAGAGCTGGCGTGCTAAGAACTCTGCGCAGCAAACACAAATGATCTTGCTCATCATAGTGCTGTGGCATGCCTCATTAGGTCAGTGTTCGTACATGCATTTGATAGAATACCCAGCGATAACCGATAACCTCTGCAGTTGACGTGAAAGCTTAATATTTCGTACAAGCCTTCAGCATTCGGTTAAGGAGAAATTTATCCGAGGATAAGGATAGAGGCAGTTGCAGTAGAAAATAAGTGACCTTACCCCATCCTCTCACCCCCAGGACAAACTGCGTGAATTGGTATTTACTCTGCAGAGTTCATCAGAAAGTGCAGATCGCCATCTGTCAGATCCTGTTGTTGTTTATCGCGCTATGCTGTTGGATTTTTTTTGTCATTAAATCAGATATGAAAAGGCAAGATTTGTATGTCAAGCTGTTGAAGAACAGTTACTATTTGTGCATTTAAACCACGTATTTCATAAAAGGTTTATATTTCTCATTCAGTGCACATCCATATATAATTTCTGTCTCTGCTCCCAGCACTCCGGGACCTGGAGAACAAGGGAATTTGTAATTTTCTTTTCATTCTGTTCTCAAATAACTTACTTTTTCCCACCTGGTCAAATGTACTGAACGCATCAAGCAGCAGACGCTTCCACATGAGTCAAAATCAGAAAGCGGTGTCTCGGGACTCCCCCACCCAGAATCATGTTTTTCACATGTTATGGAACAGGCGTGAGTTTGGATTCGTGATGGCGTATGTTTTACCAATACGGCTCTCCAGTCCTCTGATGTGTCGGCAGAGATGAAAAAAAATACTGGAAGACCTATAGGCGCCGTACCAAGCTACAGTAAATATCATTAATAATGTGCCAGCGGCGTCTGTAGATGAAGGGTTTTATGCTCTTGCACATTCTGTCACATTTGGAAGCTCAGTTTTCAGATGATGTAGAAACCTGAACATGCGTTGGGCCTGGAGGACGCGCCCGGCCGCAGGCCTGCAGGGGCCCCAGGGTGCCGCAGCATCTCATTGGCTCGTCTGACCACCAGCTTCCTCCTCTTCCCACTCCCTAGAGGAAGCATTCTGATGGCGAAACATATTGTGTTTGGTGTGGTTATCACGCTGGGGGTGTGGTTATCACGCTGGGGGTGTGGTTATCACGCTGGGGGTGTGGTTATCACGCTGGGCGGCACGGTGGCGCAGGGGCCAGCATTGCTGCCTCGCAGAGCTGGGGCCCTGGGTTTGATTCCTGGGGTGCAGTCTGGGTGGAGTCTGCACGTTCTCCCCGGGTTTTTCGCGTGGGCTTCCTCCACCCAGTGCAGAGACATACTGGTAGGTTAATTAGCTTCTGGGAAATCTGGCCCTGATTTGCGTGTGTGTGTGTTTGTGTCTGCTCTGCGATGGACTGGCGTCCCTCCTGTTCAGGGTGAACCCCACTTTGTGCCTGTTGTTTACCGGGACAGGATCCGGCCCCCCCGGGTGTTTGTGACAAATTAAATTCATGGATTAAGTTGATGTAAGGACACGTATTATTACACTGCATTTTATTATATATAACATGTTATCATTGATATCATGCGTTCTATCATTTTGATTATATATGGATTACAAATGTTGTTATCTTGTCACAAAGAGAGGATGGGGGAGGCTGTGATCTTGACTGAAGCTGTCGCTCCCAGCAAAACCAGCGCAGCGCAGCGGGAGGCTGGTGTGTCAGTGGAAGAGCCTTACTGGTATAGAATGGAGAGGCAAGAAGCAGGAGAGAGATTAGGTGGGAGGGAGAGAGAGTTGACAGATCCCCTCTCAGCTGGAATTATGTTCTCTCGAAAAATGAAGGAAAGCTTTTTTTTTGTCCTCAACAGCCGTATCACTGATGTCTTAATGGCCTTTCTGTCAGCTGTTGAAGTTAATGTAAGATAAATGAGGGCTTCATGGAAATGTGATATCGGTGCTGTGCTGTGTGGAGAGGATGGGTGTGTGTGTGAGAGTTTTTCTGTTTGAGAGTTTTGGGGGGATAAAATAAAAATACTGGCATGTTGAGAATTGCCTGTCAATGGGAGAAAATACAGACAATGAAAGAAAGATGGATAGACTTGAAATGTCATTGATTAATTCCAATTAAAAATATGTACATAGATGGTGATACATACTGGAAGCAAAATATATATTCAGAATGGAATGGTTCAAAGTGTCTGATGTGTCTGATTGAATTTGATTTCCACCAGAAATCAAATTCATTTCTGCTTTTACTGCTTTCTGTCAGTCAGAACAAATACTTAACTGCAAGGAACCTGTGTATCAAAACCGCTAACAGCTGCCAAAATCATTACAGTGGAAGTGCATCTCTCTCCACAGTGCTGAAAGTGATGCACACTATCTCCCTGACTTCCTTTCCAGTTGCAGAAACAACCTGGAGCCTCTGTCTCACTTAAGAAACCACAAGTAGAAATGATACGCCCTGCCTTTAATAAAACTAGAGCAAAATTAATTAAGCCGTATCCAATAATTTCCTGTCTGATGCAAGTGCTTCCGAAAATTAATTAGTGAATGCATTTATTATTTAAATGCATTGGATCACTGTGGTGTTGAAGTGTAAATATTTAATATTTACTAATGAGGAGTTCAATTCCAAAAGCAATGTACCTACTCAATCTTGCATGACCGCTTTTGCTGGCGCTAAATTGAAACGATGTGCTTTCTTTTTTTTGGATTGCTTTCCCCATCTCACAGCCATTTAAAAGGTTTTCGAGGTGCATGCTGACAGAGCACGTATGAAGGGATCAGGCAGCAGATTTCAAATGGAAACACGAAGCAGGAGCTTATACAAACAGCCTGCTCTTTTCTTACAGTGGCTTAAAAGCCCTTCCTTGCCTGGAATGCAGGCACAGAATGAGAATACGACACCTTTGCAGGGCTGTGCTTTATACACGTTTTTGAACATGAATTATTCTGTCAGTTAAACAGTCGTGTTTTTACTGAGCGAGTCAGTAATGTGGATGCTGTTCAACCCTCAAGTGCAGTACATTTGCACATTAGTATAAATGTGTAGTTCTGGTTATGTTGTGATTTTGCTTTTCTGTGGTTTGCTATTTCTTCTAATACCTCACCATGATTTCGGCTCAGTGCTCTGCTTTTTTTGCCATGGCAGACCACGGCCAGCTTTTATCAAGTTACATTTCTATAATCACTTGTCTGAGGTGGGATGGCAAAAATCTGCTGTCTTTCTGTAGATGTCTCCTGCCGTGCATAGCTAACGTACTAGCAGTGGTTTGTAACGTGGGGATGGTGTCGCTTATTATATATATTAATTCCAGTTCCGGTGATTGTCATAGAAAAAATAAACATGCAAAGGGTGGGAATGAACCACATTTTAGACCTATATCAGCACTACCATTCTGCAGAGACGGTGTGATTTTAGTGAAGTTCAGCTGGTACCAAAACTGTGGACTGTTTGAAGTTCTGTCGGCTTTCCAGATCGCATTGTAATTTTGGGTTCTTTCTTGGTCTCTTTCTGTCCTCAGCAGGATCTGTTGACTATGCAAATTTCTACCAGTGTCTGTGGGACTGCGAGGGGGACGAGCCCGACGAGCTGACCTTCAACAGAGGAGACCTCATCTACATCATCAGCAAGGTCAGGTCGCAGAAACAGCCTCACTCAGACCAGAGGATATGCGGTCCCACATTGTCAAGGGCTTGTTACCGCGATTCCTAGTTAGTTCACCATTTATCACCCCAAGCAAGTCCTGCTTGTGCTCTGTGCTACACATGAGACTCAAGGTACCATTCTAAAGGAGCTTGAGGTCCTATTGGAAGTAATTCTTCTGCAAAACTGTCAGCGAAGTTCACTCTTTCCTCTCTCTGTGGGTCGTGCGGGACTGAATCGTTTACTGAAGTGCCAGCTGCAGTCGAGGAACCTAGTGCCGTTTCCTGATGCACAGTCGGCCTCTCTGCTTGGCGAGATGCTGCAAAAAGCTGAGAGCTGTGACGGGTGGTGCGAAATTAGGTTGGGATTTGCAACCTTATTTCGACCTAATAAGCGACTCGGTATTTGAAACAACCTGTTGAATTCCAGTCCAGTAGAACATCCTGTCTCACCATCTCTCTCGGACCCTCTTACAGAAAAGGGGACTGCTAAGAGAATGACAGCTGTCCCCTGTGATTTTTTCCAGAGTCTTTAACTGTCTGTACCACTCTGCTTAGCTGCACTTCCGCCTGGTTATGTCATATTTTTATATCATGACCCCACCAGGACTGCATGGTGATTTACTACATTCTGCTGTGCTTTTAATACAGTTAAAATCATGTCCAACTTTCACAGTGTTCCTGTCTTCCATCTGCTTTCCCATTCCAAGTAGTGACACTGGACACAGCCAGGCATGGGTGTTGTCAAGGGAGGTTAGTCGTCTGTCTTTGTATAGCGCCTTTAAAGCCATGATGCCCAAGAGCGCTCTGTTGCTTACAGAATTTTAAAAAGAGGAAGCCCCTGAGACTGACTAGTTGCATGCCGGTGATGTGACAGCGTGTTCAGAGCTATCCAGCTTTGAATGAAAACTATGCAAAGCGGACGCAGTTTCCTGCGTACTAACAGAGAGACGGCGCCAGCGCTCGTCTGCCCCCCCGCCTCTGGGAGGGTATCTCCTCGAGCGGTTGAGAACCACATGCTTGCTTACAGAGACTGTGATCTATTTCTCCGGAGCCCTGACCCACTGTAAATTCGACAGGGCGATGTGTCCTGTGCAGCACTTCACAGCCACAGTAATGATGAGTTATGTGCTGCTGGCCCAGAGCTGAGAGATGCATCAATCTGACCCCAGTGACAGAGTGACATCTTATTGGTTTTTGTATGTGCCCATACTTTATATATATATGTATGTATAATAGAAGGCACCCCCTGTCTCTGTACCCTGAGCAAAACAAGCCAATTCTGGGACTTATGCCACATTATGCAGCTTCTTTTTTTGCTGTGAAACCTAGTAACCAGTGGGGTGAAGCGAGAAACATTTGAAATCAACTGTGATTGGGGCTGCTGATCCAAAGATTCGGTACTTTGTCCCTTGTCTCATGCTCTTCTGTATTTCTTCTGGGGGCTCCTTTCTGATATATATTTAACCCAGGGTGTCGTATGTCTCTGCCAGGCCAGGTACAAAAGCTAGATTCGGACCCTGGGCTTCAGAGGATACCTAATTAACCTCTTGGTAATTGCTAATCCTTCTCCTTCTTTAGCTACGTCAGCTTTGTTGGGATGGCAGAGAGACACAAAAGTCTTTTTGTTCGGATCGGAGAAAAGCGTGCTTTTATTTTGAAACTGACTTTCTTCGTGCATGTTAAAAAAGGAAGAAGAAAAAAAAAACCTGCTGTTGTTTTGCTCTGTGGCTATGAGGCTGTGTGAAATGCCCAACAGCGAGATTTCCTGTGTAATGGGATTTATGTACATTACTGCTTCGGTATTGTGGGGATAATTGAGTTGCTCATCCAGGCGAAACTCGCATTCTGTTTATTACAACATGCAGGTGAATCACTTAAAGGTACACAGGACTGGCTTTTAACTTTTATCATTTCTTTTTGGCTTTTCACATTACTTTTTCTCATTTTTACGAGAGCAATTTCTTTGTGTAATGAACATTTTGGCTGTTTCTTATGTGTATTTTACAGAGCTCGATTGCACAGTAATTTAGTTTCTTACAGAGTTTTCCTAGTTTTCAAGAACCAACATGGCTTAACCCTAATTTTGTTTATTATCTTGCTTTTTCTTTGTTAGTATTTTGAGTTTTTGTAATGCCAGTGCCATGCAGCCAAGCTCAGGTTTTTTTCCAGTTGTTCCAGTGCTGATTGAAATAAAAATAAAGTTCATATAGCGCCTTTCACGCTAGCTTCTGTGTAAAAACATGCTGCATCTCAGCAATGCAATATTTGAATAAACAGAGCTCCACAGCTGCTATCAAAGAAACCAAGAGCAGAAAGGCATTTAATCGAAAGACAAACCACTTCCACCCGGTACGTGAAAACATAACTTGGGTTCAAAGCGCTAATGTGCCGTTAGCATGTGGATGACCTTGACTTAAAAACATTAGCACTGTCAGCATAAGTAACTGTACGTAACTGAGGGCGGAAGTGTGCTCTGAACTGTGGGAGCTATGTATCCGAATGTCGCTTCTCCTGTCCTTAGGTTTTTCTGGCCTAGGACACAGTCAGGGTCTGCAGTACGATGCAGTTTTACTGCTGTCTTTTTGTTAAACTCAGCAGAGTCTTGGGGAGCTACTTTGCACTTCCAGGTCTGTAGAAACGGAGGCAGGAAGCCGGCAGGAATCCGAGGTCAGTGCAGACTTGGATCATGTGGTCAAAAATAACAGCTTAATAACGTCAGTAACAGCTATGAGTGTGGGCCCTTCATCTTGAGTTTTGTTTTACTTCTCTTCCTGTCCTTGTGACACGCCCCTGTCCGTACAACCAGACTTTGCCGTCTGATGAGACTTATATCACTGTGTCTCCAAGCAAAAGCTAGAAGATGTCTAAATAGCATGAGACCTGATTCATAAGTCTCGTCACAGTTATACAGTATATGAAGGGTCAGATTCAGATGGTCTGTACTCATGTAATATAAGAAACCGCGTATATGTGAATAATGTGAGTAGAAAAGGTGAAGTGCTTGAGCCGTGATTCATTACCTATGGAGCATTGAATTGCCTGAATTGTGTAACCCAGTTACAAACTTGAAATGCTCAGCAGCACCTTGGGCTGTCCTCTCCCTGCTAGCTGGAGTGGTTGCTGCTTTTGAACTGTGCCGGCAGAGCCTTGGGCTCTGGGCCTGTCCCCACCCTCCACGCCCCGTCCCGTCCCGTCCCGGCGGCTCCTGACAAGTGCCCTACTCCAGACTTCTCTCCCTGCTTGACGATACAATGGAGGCTGAACCCCAGCATGTTCCCTGGACCCGGAGAGAGAGTCACTCTCTCGGCCCATATCCTTACTGCCAAACCCTGGGGGCAATTCTCCACCTGGCCCCTTCGCGATTTAGATGGGAGAACAAAATGACTTCTGTTTTCGTTTTAACATGAGACGTGACTTGAGTTTTGTTAAAACTTTTTGTTCTGAACGTCCCCGTTGGTCACTCAGGGGTGACTTGGTTGTTCCTGCTCTGTCACTCGTGTGCTGTCACCTCAGAAGCTCTCATTACAAAGTGTTCCAGGCTGGTGCTCTGATTTGCACAGGGCTTTGAAACGGAAATGACTGAAGAAGCAGGACTTAAAACGAACATGGGGAGGTCACGGGGTACGCTATAAAACCTGTTCAGGCCCTCCTCTCTCTACTGCCGTTGAAACACAGTTTGCTATGTGTTTAGTACGTGTGATTGATTAAATGTGTTGCAAAGCCCTCCTGTGCATCTACCAGTCTTAGTTTTAAGTAACTTTTGTGTCGTGTGAAAAAAATAGACATTAGACATCATCCTTTCTTTCTCATTCAGCGGAATAAGAACGTGGAGTAAAGAGAAATCAGAACCGAACAAGTCCGGTCAGTGATAAGGAATTCAAAATAATATCCTTTTTTAACCACGAGGATGGTCTGAGTGTTGATATCTGAAGACTGGAAGTAATTAATAGGCCAGGGGGACAGGTCAGAAGGGAGCAATCAGTCCTGCCAGAGGCCTGTATTAAAGAAAGGCTTAACTGACGGTTATGAAATCGCTGCTCAAACTGGAGAGAGTCACAGTGGCAGCATATCCCCTCCCTCCGAATAAAGCAGGAGATGTTATAAAAAGCTCCGCAATTGATCGGTATTGATCCCTCGCTTACTGTAAAGAAAACCTCTCTGTCTTCAGGCTCTGCCTTGTGCTGCCATCGTGCGGGAGCCTATGCAAAAGAGTCGACTCTGCTACCCAGCCTGCTCCCCTCTCCTATCCCAGCCTGCCCCCCTCTCCTATCCCAGCCTGCTCCCCTCTCCTATCCCAGCCTGCACCCCTCTCCTATCCCAGCCTGCTCCCCTCTCCTATCCCAGCCTGCGGTTCTTTTCTCTTCCTTTTCCTTGGTGAGTAAACAGGTTGGTTTTCATCCTTTTGCTTTCAGAAGTTTAAAAAGTTGGCCACTGAAGATTTGCTCTTGCCTCAGTTGGTTCTTTATTTAGTTATAGCGCCTCCTTTGATCATTTGACCTTTCACTAATAAAATCTGCATTGTTTTGACTTTTTCAAGTTGAAGTCCAATACTTTATTGCCTTAACAACTGGTTGCTTGGAATTTCGTTTATACAATCCTTTCTTGACCAAGACCTTCTACAAACCACACAGCGATTGTTTTAGTCCAGGAATTTAACAGTTGAAGCAAGGTTAAAATAAGGGCCATTCTCTTGACTTCTTCAGTCTGCTTTGAAAAGATGTTCTTAGCGAATGAAAATGTGTGATGTGCTTGACACGAGGAAGCAGTACTGTTCTGGTATGTGGTACAGTTTACTTCAAAGCTCCCTCCTGTGTTTGAATTTTATTGTTCCCACATAAAGTGCCGTTATCGCCTTACAAAAATAAACTTTTGTTCTGTAAACGGTTACTTTGCCAAATGGCTGGGTGAGTAGGGCACAGATCACGTCAAGGGTTCTCCCTGCAGTGAATCATTTTAAGGAGGTTCATTCTGTGCTGGTTGGTTTCTTGGGGGGTGGATGTTTCCTCAGACGTTGAGCAACCTTGATATCTTGCATTGTACTCAATTTTTGGTGCCCAGCAGAGGACG